AAGTGCTTGCTTTCCTTTGAAGTCAAATCTCATGTTGTAGTACTGACATCCACAAGCAATGACTTCCCTTTGAACATGCATACAATGTTGTTAACATTGAACAAATACTGAAAGTCCATTACTTTCTATTGCCAGGAGTAAGTTATTAGATAAATACAGTGTGTTTGTTCCTTTTAAGAAATGGTATTGATTCTAATCCATATCTTTTATTTTCTTATTCAAATTAAAGGTAAGGTTAATATTCTGGATTTATATAAATACATCCTTCAGCTGTTTAGTGAGTGAAGTCATGTTCAAAATTAAGCAGGAAAGACTGGGAGTCTTTGTCATATCCCTAGTGTTAAAAGATAAATATGTAAGGGAACCAAGGTCTAAATAACATAGGAGCAAACCTCAAGGACCCCAGAGCCCTCATTAATTTTAAACAGTCGAGGAAGATGAAACAGCTTAGTCAGCAGTAATTAGCTGTGTTTGCACGCCTTATCATGGTCAATGTCACAGACTCAAAAAGAAATACTCCCAACTCACAACACTGCTTAAAATGCAAATTACAATCACACTGTCATGATACGGGAGGTGAAATGGGGTTCAACGCACTGGTCAGGACTAATATCAGTTTTATAATGCAAGCCCAATGACATACCATGCTGCAGTTTTGACATGGATAACCTGATGGGACACAGTATACTGAGTCACAACCAACCAGACCTTGTTGCATCCCCTAATGACGAGAACTAGGCAGGATAATGACAAGTAGCATCTTTCAACGTCTTTTGGTATGACGCAGCTAGGGATCGACTAAAGAGGCTCTATCCACAAGACCGCGGAGCCGGTCCACTGTCATGAGAAATGACTAAAGATATTGCAACATATCCTATACAATTTCACAGCTAGATAATTGCAGCAGGCTCTTGTTCCTCAGCAAGCTTACTTCACAGAAGGCTAGCATGACCTGAACTATACAATGGTGGCTGTAAAACACCACTAATAGGATAAATTAGCATATCCATGCGTAGTTGATCAAAATACCAAAAAATAGTTGGACAGCTCTTGACAGGAAATCCTCTTACATCACATCTTGTTACTGCTGTGAGAGGCTGGATTAGTCTGTGATTGTCACGTTAATGATCAGCGGTGATGTTTGTGCTAAATGAAGAGAGTAGCTGCAGCTTTCATATGGTTGTGATTCAATAACCACTAATCATTATGTAACAGTGGAGACTCCAAAAGATTCCCAGAAACCAATCCCACGTGTTTCATCTTATCTGATCATGCTGATTGGAGCACACACTGCCATTCCTTTTACAATATGTACAATTCCCTCAAATGATAAAATGCATGATTGTTGTTTTATTTCAAAGAGTTTTTCTAGTTATATCACAGTAGAGTGTACAAAACTGAATCTGGGTAAGGAAAACCAGGGGTTGATAGCATGAATACTGATCCACATCATCTGGGTGTAATGACAAGAGGGAGGTCACAAATTGTACCCACATGATACTTATTAGCCAGCTCTTATTACATGGAAGTTCAAGTATGACTGACTGTGGGTGTATTCTGGCCAGAAAGTCGGCCAGTAACAGGTTACAATTTAACAATGCACTCTTCAAAGAGCAGATGTTTGACTTATTCCAACATGAATGGAGAATAATTGTAAAAATGAAATTCCAAATTCATAACTTTCCTAGTTTTAACATTAGGCAAGTACTGTCTGTGCCAAAAACTTTGAGACAACTAGCCTGAACATTGCTCTAAACATCATTTTTAGAAGAATGTAGGGTTATTATATGGCCTATTTTCAGCTGAGCTTATTTTGTTCGTTTATTTGTTGTTTAATGTTCAAGCTATGATGGCAGTCTGTAAATAATCGAGTCTGGACCACACAATCCAGTGACTGATATCATGAGCATCGATCTACGCAATTGGGATACAATGACATGCATTAGCAAAGTCAGCAAGCCTGACCACCTGATCCTGTTAGTCGCCCCTTTCGACAAGCATAGTTGCCTTTTTGGCAAGTATGGGTTGCTGAAGACCTATTCTTACCCGGATCTTCACGGGTAAGCTGACCTTATTAGATCAAACAGAATTTGACTAGATTAGGGCTTTGCAATAGTAGCAGAATATGGTTTTACACCACATTTATCAATATTCCAGCAATATCACGGAACAGGACACAAGAAATGGGCATCACAAATTGTACCCATGCAGAGAAATAATACCATGTAGGGAAACAAACCTCTTCATTCGGCATGAGTGAATGCTTTAACCACTATACCACCTTACTGCCCTTTAACATGAGGACAATGTATGCCTAATTGATGCTCATCCTTGATTTGAAACACTGGTAACATTATGTCCCATCTCCAGCACAAGCTGAGCTCAGGCTAATCAGGGGAATCAATGATACCACCTAACAGCAGATCAAAGGTTGACCCTTACCTCACTGCACTGGTTATGCAACAGTGACGTCATTTACTCCACATAACACAGACAAATTGGCAAGGAACAACTGATTCATACAGCAACCAGTCAATAAAACCCTCTTGATTCCTTCATCCGTTATTATCATCAGTTTCTCAAAGTAAGGGACAAAATGAAGACACTTTCAAAAACAAATGTCATCGACACAATGTTCATAAAAATGTTAATGGCTGCATTTTTCAATTTATGGAACAAAATATTTTGAATCCCAAATGTCAGCTGTCTATGGCACTGAAAACAGGAACCCCAGAGGACCTTGTTTTCTTTCAGACAAAAATGGAACAGCCATGTTCAGTTTTAATCACAAACAACATAACATAAAATTCCAAAACGATAATTCGACTGAGGCTTATTATTTTCTGGGTCACGGTGGCCTACAAGATGTCAGGCTCAGCACCTGACAGCAAGGTTCTCTTCCCCATCATGTCCCCATCCTGCTCCAATCCCACCCATGACAAGGTTGTCAGAATTGGGAGACAGATGGCACTATTTGTCCTTGCATTCCTCTAACATAGTTGCAGCGCCAACAATACCACCATTTCTTATTGATTTTTGCCTCCATGTTGCAACATTTGACAGGTGCCTCTTCAGCCAATTGAACAAGTAATACAGTTGGCTGTACCAGAAAGAGAAATGTACTTGCATGATTCTGTTCATTACTGGATTGGCCTGTCTTTCACTAGTGCAAAAAAACGTGTCTGAATAGACCCATAGATTTATGCTCAAGATCTTGCAGAAGGTAAAAACATAATCAGGACAATTTGGTTCTATGGCTAAACACAGTATATGCCAAGAGAAAACAAGCATTTCCATAAATTAAGAATGTTTTATTTTGTTCAGTAAGTCCCTGTGTTAAAGGACATGTATTTTCATATATGTTATTTTTGTCAACTACTGGCTGCAACAATATCAACATTGAACAGCCCTTAAACATGATCCGAGGGGTTAAATTGTCTTTTAAAATATAATAGAAAGGGCCCAGTGGTCCGTTCCACAAATCTATCATAGCTAAGGCAATGGTAACTCCAATACTTTAACATAGATTTATGATTGTCTTTGCTCTAAGATCACCTTGTGGATCGGGGCCCTGAGAATGGCTTAGTACTCAAGGTTGCTTGGGTGTAATCTGATGTTCTTGTTTCAGGGACCCGTGAAGATCCAGGATAGAATAGGTCTTCAGCAACCCATGCTTGCCATAAAAGGCGACTATGCTTGTCGTAAAGGTGACTAACGGGATTGGGTGGTCAGGCTTGCTGACTTGGTTGATGCGATGTGTGGATCGATGCTCATGATGTCAATCACTGGATTGACGTGGACCAGACTCAATTATTTACAGACTGCCGTCATATAGCTGGAATATTGCTGAGTGCAGCGTTAAACAACAAACAAACCAAATCTTGTTTCAGGGTCTGCATGAGAGACTGGTGAACAGTGAGTGATAGCATAAGCAATAATCCCCACTGTCAGGATACAATGCCCCAGTAAATGCCAGGCCACACACCTATTCTACACTGCACACACCCCAGGGTTGCATGTGAGAGTCCATGTGAAAGGGGAATTTAGTTATAACCACCTCGGACATTGTGCACACATAATACATGTTTTATTAATTTTGTTTCTCAAATCTAAAAGGGACCTACTGATTGTTTTTCTGTACATCTCACTTAAGAAAAACCCTATCAGGAGTAAAAGACCTTCATAAATTTTCAAAAAGCATAATACAGCAAGGCAGACAACTATGATAATCATGACATACCAAATAAAGCCCAGTATTTCTACACCAAGGTCAAATACTGAGTGAATCACGACAGGCAAGGGAGTTAACTGACTATAAAAGTTTAGTTTCCACCCTTGCCGAACTAGGCTGCAATCATGGAGTTGTATTTTGGCTGGACTAACCATGCTAACGAGTTTATCCATAGTCCAATCAAAATCACAAAATGAAATCAACATCCAGTTCGTAAACTGCAGTGCAGACTTCGGTCGTTTGCACGATTTGCAAAGCATTTGTACCGTCAACTTAGCGTCAACTTTTTAATCAAGGTGCTCACCTGATTTGATGAACTTAGCGAAGTAAGACACGTTTACAATACAGATCTTGATAATCGATCAGATCTTCTTCACTGGGTGCCGCCATTTTGTTTGAAGCAAATGCAAGTGACATAAGAGATAGGAATCTGATTGTCAGTAGGAGGGACATAGAAGGGACTGGTGGTGCTACGATTGAACACAGGAATTCCGGCCTAGTTCGGCAACTCCCTTGCCTCGGGAAGATGGATAGACACAAAATGCCCTGTATTTCTACAGAAAGGCAGAACACACAAATCATCACCCAATAAGAAACTTCTAAATACCCAGAACATCCCTTAAGTTCTACAGCAGTGCCTACACACCACTAAGAAGCATCCAGCAAGGTGTCAGCAGTCTGTTATCATGGTTATTCTGCTGCTTATCAGTGCTGGCAAGAAATCCTTATCACATTATATGAAATAACAACACAAGAGTGTAAATCTTACCAATTGTTCTAGAGTGTCCACTTTGCTGTCTGGAGCAAACATTGTTTGGACCATAAACTTGTGCCTGTTCTTCTCCGTTGGGTCATACTCGAATGGCTGTAACATTACTGAAATGACACAAACCGCAAGGCCTTGAAAGAACGTCTTTTGAGCAGGAAGTATTCCTTGCATGTAATGACTAAGTGAATAAAATACTTTATCATCCACAACTGACTTCCACAGGACGTATCGCTTGGGTTAGATCAAGCAATACATCACCCAGGAGATATCGCAACAATGGCTTTGCACCACAATGCTTTGGCAGTCAATTGTGATGTCATTTATTAACCTGACATCACTAATCTCTTTGCCAATGAAGCTGGTTTACTGTACCTTTTACACTAACAGTGTTCCCGTTTCCCGGTAATTACCAGTTTTTCAACGGTAAAATTAGGCTTGGACCGGTAATTCATGTTACTGCCAGTCCCTGTGGACCGGCAAATAAAGTGCATGTACCTTATAAATATTGTTTTTCGGCGATATTCATATAAGTATATTTTTCGAAGTCAGATTGTCAGTTGCCATCTGGGTCCCCCTTGTCTATTTTTAGTGCAAAGAAATAACATTTAGCTTTACTTATAGGTTAAATATATATTTGCAACAATTTACATGATTTAGTCTCGAATTATAAAAAAAAGAAAAGAGTTGAAAGATTTAAAACCAGGTAATTTTCATTTGTTGAAAGTTGGGACTGACAAAAATTAGCGGGGACTGGTAATTTTTAGAGTCGCCAGTCCTGGTGGACTGGCAGTTTCAATAGCCAGCGGGAACACTGACTAAAGCTACCCGTTATTACTGTTTACAAACAGAAAAGTGAGAATGATTGTGGATGAAACATACAATCTCACCTAACTTGTCTTTTGATATCAAACATATCACCACTTATCAATAAAACTTAAAAGTCTTTGTTAAGCCTCGTAGTTTACAACTTTTATTGACTTTTAAGAGGATATTCCATGTATCAAGTGAAATATCCTGTTTCTTTCATTGAGTGACGTGGGGAAAGAAGATATTTTCACAAGTGGCTGTGAAAATATCTCTTTTCCCCATCACGAGATGACCAAACATATTTCACTTGACACATGGAATATCCTATTTATTATATACTTTTTGTGTAGTGAGAGTAAAACCTTGAAACGAAACGAAACATAAAAAGTAGTTCCATGTTTGCAAAATCTTAAAAAATATATACATAAGTAACAAAAAATAGTTGAGGTAAAAAAATTCTTTATCATACTTTTGGATATGATAATATACAAAATCAACTTCAATAAAACATATTCTTGAAACCTGTAAGATCGCTGTTGGAAGCGAAAGAATACATGCTGTTCAAGTCACAAAAATGGCGCTTTGGGAAACGAACAGAAATTTACAGTTTATAACAAATATTTTCAAGAGAATAACAAACAGGGGGAAGCTATATTAACTCCATAAATGACCATCTGTCATTATTTTGCCTTGTCAATGTGGAACTAACGTAAAAAAGAAGTCAACAGTTTGTGTTTGGGCTAGACAGATAAAGGGGAGACTATTAGTGGGGAGGTAACTCTTGTAAGACAAGGGTTGCTCACTGCAGTGAAATATCAAGTGTTATGTTCACTGCAATGAAAACTCAGTCTTTCACAACGACATATATAATAAATTTGATATAAAAATATAACTTTGGTTTCACCTCTATTTCCAGTTTCCAAATTTCCTAGCGGAGACCACTAAGGATGGGCTTTACACACTGTACCAGACAGGGGATCAGACCCAGGTTCAACTATGACCAATACTTAAAACTATGAGGCTACCCAGGGACTTATCTAGGATTGTTAGGCAAATTGTGGGAAAATGATTATTTTGTTCAATTTTTTTATTTTTTTCATTCTTATTTTCCGAAATTCAAATGTATTTTAGTATTGAAGTTTAACATTACATTCCCCAATGAAAGTCTCTAGTACATCAAACCACCTAAGCTGAAACAATAATTGTATTTATATACAACTAGTACAACCAGTCCAACCCAGCTTAAAAGGACATAGGTCCTAGTGTAGCAGCAAATCTTACCTGCCACTGTGACCGCGAGACCAGGCTCGATGATACCACTGTTTGGCCTGACACAGTACCTCTTGGGTGCTGTTGTCTTTACCTTGAAACATACTTTCTTGTCTGATGGATTCTTAAGTTTCAAATCAGCTGTCACTACATCTGTGAATGGTCCTGAAGTGAAACAAATTGAAAATACTTACAAAAATGCAGCACCAATTACAAGTTTAAGTTCATTTTTTCAATGCCACACTCAGCTATACACGAGTCATAAGATTTGGACCATAGATTACAGTGTCTGGACCAGATAATCCAATGATTGCCACTGTGCCCAATGATCCACGCCATCAGGGTAAGATAACATACCCTCAACCAAGTCCAGGACCATCAAATCACCTCTTGAAGTGTTCCCAGACTTTGGTCTGCCGAGTCTTAACAGTAAGCCAAAAGTTGACTTACCACTGATAATAGTTCATGGCAGGGATGTCAGCATTACTAACATCATGTACAGTGTCGAATTGTCAGTGAAGAAATCAACATATTTCAGGTACCTGCTGCCATGGCAATAGCCCCATACATTATCACAACACACCAAAAACATAAAAACTGTTGTTATGTCGAACACACTCTGCATTATCCAGCATATTATTTTGAGACCAATTAATCAAATATTCATGCCCCAGACTGTTGACATGTGAATAGGTGAATGCATGCAATCCATTAGAGCAAGTATTCAGTTCCTAACGTGACTTTCAAAGTCATAAATTGATTGGATTGATTGCAACATATGACCCAGGGCTTAACAACAGAATCAGACCATACTGCAGTATCCATGATCAGGGCCAGTCTTCTCAACAGAGTAACCCCTACTTACATTAACAATGTTCAAAATTAAGGGGTCCTGGAACCTTGAGGTTTGAGGTTTAATCTACCAACAAGTTTCCAACTTTTAACATAAGACTAAGAGTTACAACAAGGACTCACCGACTTTCATGTTTAAAAAGATGGAAACAGCTACCCAAAACAAACACCTGAACGCAACCAATGGTTTAGCCCAAGCACGTGCAATATATGACGAGTAACGGTCAATGTGGGTATCAAAAGATTCATTCCAGATCAACTGAACTGCATTCTTGAAAGTTGTAAAAAAGCACAAAAAATTATACTTTTATCTTTTATTATCGGACCCGTGAAGATCCGGGGTAAAATAGGTTTTCAGCAACCCATTCTTGACATAAAAAGCGACTGCTTGTCGTAGGAGGCGAGTAACAGAATCGGGTGTCAGGCTCGCTGACTTGGTTGATGTATGTCATCATATCCCAACTTGCATGGCTTGATGCTCATGATGTCAATTAGTGGATTGTCTGGTCCAGACTCCATTATTTACAAACCCCCTTAATCTTATTATCTGCCTGACCCCTAAATAATGATGCTGAGTACATAATCACATTATATTCTACTGATAATTAGGCTAAGAGCCAAATTCGGGCAAGCAATCTCAAAAGTGGCACAGAGTAAAACTATAGGTTTATAACACAGAGAAGAATGTGAGTACCAGACTACCAGTTACCCAGTCAGGAATGAATAGCTGAATCATGACATTTTGGTCACACCGCCACCTTTAAACCAATTCCTTTCAGCATGCTAACTGCTACTGATTCACGTTGGCAGCCTTGGCTTAATTCCAGGTTCATGATTTTAAATAATGAACACAACTCAAGGTAGCCATTCTCATTTTCACAATATATTACCGATTCTAAATTGATTGTCAAGAAACGCAAATAAATACCACCAGAAGCACCTTACAGTGTTAGAAACTAACAGTTTTAGACCACTAGTCCTTATAATAATAACATATAGTAAAACCCTTAAAAAGGGCAAATTTCTGCTAGTCCCTATGATACCTTAACTATTGGGCAGTTCGGCAAGGACTTTAGGACTCGTGCCAATTTCTAACACTGCCTTAGACCTTTGCTCTCGCAAGCTCCCCACTTTTTAACCTATCCGTATCACTAACCTACAAACAAATTGGACTGAATGTTGATAACTGTGGCATTATTCCAGCAAGACTGACCATTTCAGCTTTATCATGTTGGTCTGTAAATATCAAGTCTGTGTCAAGCAAACCAGTGGCTGAAACTGTTCAAAATTAATCAGAGAGTCTCCAGGGGTCCTCTCATAGCTCTAATGTTGTATGTTTAATGCGTTTAGGGGTCACAAGATTCAAATATTACAAGAGGAAACTTCTTGAGTGGGTGAGTGAGTAAGTGAGTGAGTGAGTGAGTGAGTGAGTGAGTGAGTGAGTGAGTGAGTGAGTGAGTGAGTGAGTGAGTGAGTGGGTGGGTCCCCAAATCAATACATCACAAACAGCAGTGGGGTAAAAGGCGACTATGCTTGTCATAAGAGGCAACTATCTGGATCGGGTGGTCAGGCTCGCTGACTTGGTTGATGCATGTCATTGTATCCCAATTGGGTGGATTGATGCTCATGATGTCAGTCACTGGATTGTCTGGTCCAGTCTCGATTATTTACAAACCGCTGTTATATAGCTGGAATATAACAACAAACAAACAGCAGTGGGATGAACAATAAACAAAGTTTAGATCCTTACATCAGAGATAATAAGAACTGTCTATTCAATGCAACACCAATACAATCACAGACATTGATTGTCTGACTGAACACCAAGCAGATCTAGGCCAGTTGGATACTAATTCCAAGATTGATTTTCCGCCCCATGTTCAATTGCCTTCTCATGCCGATGAAACAGAAACTGTTAACTTTTTAAATTGATTTTTCAACTTCAACAGCCAATACATTAACGATGTTAAAACTGAAAGAAATTGAACTTCGTACCAAGATTAAATGTGATTATTGCAGTCGTTTGATCAATGTTTTTATACTTGTCCCATTTGTCTTTCCAAAGAGGACAATCTGTTCAATTTCTTATTAACCGATTGATTTATTATGTCAATGTTTCTCAACATCAAATATATCCCAATTTATCCAAAATTTGAATAAAAAATCAGCTACTGAAGTCACCTGGGGAAAAATAAGATATTGATCACAGAATGGGAATATGGTATCAGTATCACATTGTCAAAGGGTTGTATCACAAGTTACTGCCAATATTTTAATAAAAATATCTGTATTGGTTTCCAAGAACAGCTTGTGGTCCAATAAATGTAACAGGATGAGTCCCAAACATAGAAATATTTGTCTATTTATATTTTGCGATTGTGTCATCATGGCCAAAATGCAATGAGCAGGGTTTAACTTTGACTTACCTGCACAATGAATCTACAGCTACCTTCTAAATACCCACACTAACATGACCAATCAGAGTACAGCTCATTGACTCCAGCTCCAATCAAGTAAAGCTCTGATACCATCACCAATACTTAAAGTTTCAGACAACAGATCACATTGAATCTTAATTTCTGGATAGAGCTGAGGTAATCTAGACTTGCCAAATCGTTCTAGACTTGAGTTGGACTCATTTTTTTTTATTCATATAGGGTCTGGGAGACTGACTAGATAAATTCATCAAGAATCTTACTCCCAAATGCTTCTCTACACCCTAAATCCCCATTATCTATAGCCCTGTCCTAGAAAACCACAATTTGTCGAATGATGTCAACATCTTCAACATCGTTTCTAGTGTGACATCATTTTGTGCTTACTTCAGAATGAGATTCGAATGACGTCAACAATGATGTCTGGATGTCCGGCAACAATGCACTGGTGCATGGAAAGGGATATTTTCACTAGTACACATACCGTATTCGACGTAATAAGTGCCCAGGGCGCGCTCAAAATTAGAAATAGGGGGCTCTTATTCAAATATTATTTTGGAGGAAAAAAAAACAGAGTTGAAAGATAAATTTCGTGTTCATGTACGACAGATATATTTTTCCAGAATTAAATTGCCCATAATTAAGGTTGCATATAACACACGGGTGCGTATCATACGCGAATAGATAAACAATGTGAACATTGATCAATCGAAAGGGGGGCTAATTGGATTTGTTCACTAGCCAATATATTCACAAATAACGCCGTGGGCACTTATTACATCGAATACGGTATACTTTTTAGGAACTCGGTTATTGCTAACCCTGTGGGTGATCAAAGACATAAAGAGAGGAATGGTCAGTGGGCACTGTTTATGTCGTTGCAAAAGTAAGCATGGAAAGAGTTTTCAGGTTATCATGGTTTGGTTCATTAACATAAATTGCTACATTTTAAAGTGTGTCACATTACTGAAATAACTGTGTGCAAGTAATGTTGAAAATCACTTAATTCATGATCGATCACTGCTTGGCGTCAAAAATCCAATCTCCGACTAATGATTGATCATCAGTTTTAATCATCTCTTCTTCTTGGTCACATCAGATTATTAACAAACCTGTGCATGTTGAGCAGAGGATGCTGCATGTATCCGACACATACAAGCAGGAGACATCTACAGACAGTACACATGAACAGACAGCAGACATGCAGACAGTGCCCCGACAGCAGACGTGTACAGACTGCAGACATACACTAACAGAAGACATGTCTACTTGCACGTCTGTCAATTTGCACTTCTCAATACCTTTCTACACATAAAAAATGTAATGCTACAGGAATATGTTCACCATGTTCACGTAGACCCATGCAGTGTTATACAGCGATGGAAACTAACAGTTAACGTCCACTGGTCCTTATAATGATAGCATACAGCAACACACTTAAAAATGGAAAACTTCTAAAGTGTCTTATGATACTTTAACCATTGGTCAGTTTGACAAGGACTATAGGACTAGTGCCAATTTCTAATGCTTTTATACAGGATAGTTTTGTCTATTTGCGGTAGGGCTTGTACCTGCATGCAAATTAATGTTAAATTTTAACTTTTTGTTGTTTTTGTCTAACGCCACACTCAGCAATATTCTAGCTTACGACAAGTATAGTCGCCTTTAATGGCACTCATGGGTTGCTGAAGACCTATTCTACCCTCCTGATCTTCACAGGACACAGGTTATACCATAGTAGACATACACATCTCCTGGCAAGGGTGTCCGCATGTACAGAGATGTGACACTCTCCATCCAGCAAGTGTCCCAGGTGCCACTGGGCAGGTGACCCCTTGCTGCTACTGAAGAGTGAACAACCTGTCAAGTGTTACTGGG